GCTGCTGCTGCGGCGGCGGCGGCTGTGGAGGGGCGCCCGGGTGCTCGGTGGCCTCCGAGTACTTGGTGAAAACCAGCGGCACGGCGATGTCCGCCTTGTCCAGCTGGTTCCAGAAGCGGGCGATGCAGCAAGCCCGCGTGATGCACGGCCACGCCATGATGTTAGCTGCAAAGCTGGTCCTCCCTTCTTTATTGTGGGACTAGGGCGAGTCTCTAATCTTCCTCCAGTCCTTTGGCCCTCGACCAGCCAGCCGATCTGATTCCCACCGTTTTTTCTGGGTGGACTGCGTGCCTCGGCCTCCTCCCTCAGATAGCACCCGGGAAGGTCGGGCGGCAACGCTCTCACCGAGATAAAGTCCCGGGATTACGGGCTGCAAAGGCCTTGGGAACGCTGCCTGCTGCAGGCACCGGAGGTGAGAGATGCGGAGTCCCCGGCGAAGACGTCTGGACGCGCCCCTCCCGGAGGCTGCGGCGGCGCGCAAACCCCGGCCGAGCCAGGCGACGCGAGGCGAGGTGGCCACGGGCTTAAGCCATGGCGCAGAGGAAGGGCCGGGCCGTGTGGCCGCCGCGTCCGCGGAGGAGTCTTTTCTTCTCCTTCCCGCCGGCGGACCGTCGCCGCCGGCCACTAGCAGGGCTCGGAGGCGATCACCTCCAGCGAGACGGAGCTTTGCTGACTGCCGCTGCTCCCAAAGATGCTGCTGCAGCCGCTGCCGTCGCCGTCTCTGCTGCAGGGAAGCGGCCCCACCCTTTTCAGCCGCTCAGCAGGGAAAAAAAATCTAGGAAAGATGCTGGGAGAAAGCGCGCTGCAGAAAAAAAAATCACCTGCTGTCGTCAGCGCGCGCTGCCGGGAGCTCGCCCTCTCTCTTTCCCCTCCCTCCTCCGGCAGCTCCTCCCTCCTCCGCTCCTTGGCATCAGCAGAACCAGGCCTAGGTGGGTTCAAGTCCTAGGCTCCTGACTACTTGCTGTCCTTACGCTGGTTGCTTCTCTTGGGGGGCGGGGGGTTCATGCACCTCAGTCATGGGGATGGGGTTGGGAGGGGGCGGTGTTAAACTTCAAAAACATGGAGGAAACCCTAGTAAAATGTCTGTCCCAGGACAGACCCTGTTTTATTATTATTATTATTATTGATTTGAGTTAGAAACATTGATTTGTTGCTCTACTCAGTTATGCATTCATTGGTTCATTCTTGCATGTGCTCTGACTTGGACAGAACTGGCAACCTTGGTGTATTGGGAGGACACTCTAACCAACTGAGCTACCCGGCCAGGGCCAGGATAGACACTTTTTAAAAAGGGAGCTACTGTCGTTGGTCAAAGTCACCAGGCTGAATTGGAACCCATTTTGGCTGCCCCCTGATCCAAGCACTTACCAGTCTTATGCACAGGCCTGGCTCAGATGTGTGCGGGTGGGGCCCCCCAGGCTGGTGGTACCCTGTCTATTCCTTCCTTAGAGACTCCCAAGAACTACCCTGTCCCTGTTCATTCAGCCCAGGGGCGACACCATGGAAGAGGCAGTGAAAAGAAGATTTTTGGAAGGGGCCTAGGTGGTGAAGCTGGGGTGGAGGGGAAACAAAGGGGCAGTGTTGGGGTCTGACCCCAGCAGGTCCAGGAGTCCCCAAAGGTGCGGATGGAGTCGGCGAAGAAGGAATGACACGGAGGCAGTGTTCAGGTGGTCATCATAGCCAGGTTCTGTGTCCAGGTTCTCCAGCCAAGTTCTGTTTTTTATTGTCTTGTTACACCTGTATTTATACCAGTTGATTTTAATCCTGTCAACTTCTATTCCAAAGGTTAGGGCGTTTCTTATCTCCATTCTAGGGAGTAAAGATTATGTAGTTTAAGGGTGATTGTTCGTAGTTAAAGTGATTAACTACCCGCCTGGCATTTAGTTAAGGGGTTTTATTCCCTCCCTAACTTCAGGGAAAAATCCCTACCTGGGGAAACAACCTTTCTTGGAGAGGTGACCTTGGCTAAAATACATAGCGCTAAGGGGAGCAAACATATTAAGAACAGTATGCCATATATGCCAGGTCCCTTGAAACATATGCTGTGCAGATGTTTCTTCCCTGCAGTGACTGTGTCAAGCAGCAAGGATGGACCGGCTTCCGGCAGGGCAGTGTCCTAGGGAAGGGGCAGGCCTGACAGTAAGGGATTTCCGGCATGTTCCTTACCCTGACTTTTGGTCTTCCTCTACCTGGGTGGTAGAGTAGATTTTGGGGTCAGACAGACTTGATTTGGCTCTGACACTTAACTACCTGGGTCACTGGGCAAGTTGGGGCATCCCTGGACCTCAGTCTCCTCATTTTTGAAGTAGAGGAAGTAAGAGTTACCTCAAAGTGCTTTGTGAAGATGGTTAGGGACTCGGAGCAGAAGCTTTGAGTCAAATCGCAGCCTAGCTTTTGCATTTCTTAGCTGCAACTTCCTGACCTTTAGTTTCATCTATGAATGGGAGTACTATTTATGAACTTGCAAGATTGTTCTAAGAATGAAAATGAGAGCCCTGGTCGGTGGGGCTCAGTTGGTTGAGTGTCATCCTATGTGCCAGGAGGCTGCTGGTTCAATTCCTGGTCAGGGCACATGCCCGTGTTGTAGGCTCTGTTCCTGGTGGGGGCATGCCAATCGATGTTTCTCTCTCTCATGTCGACTATCGCTCCTTTTCCCTTCCTCTCTCTAAAATCAATAAAAACATATATCACATCTAGAATATTCTCAACAATAAATATTTTTAAAAGCCCAGAGTAAGAAAATGAGATAATGCACTAAAAGCGCTTACCACGACATCTGGCATATAGCAATGGCTCAGTAAGTGGTAGCTATTAGCATTCAAAGAACCCACCCAGAAACCCATAGGTGGAGCGTCTTCCCAAGCAGGCCAGCCACCTGGACACCTGCTCTAGGAAGACCTCTGGTTCTTCCAAGTCCCTTTAGGTCTCTTATTGATGTCCCTCCATTTATGTCTCCTACACTGTCTTCTACTCCCTACACCTAGATTCATTCACTAGCCTTCAGCTCTGTTTCTTTCCAACATAGGCAGTTTTTAGCATCATCTAAGCCAGGGGCATTGGTGTTTCCAGGCAAGAAAGTCATTTATGTGTTCAGATTGGGAACTGATTTGAAAAACACAGCTGTTTTGTTTTTTTTAAACCTTGAAATCAAACAGAATGAGAAGACAATTCTGATTAGTCAATTATCTGCTAGACTTCCTCCTACTTGGGTCTTTGCCTCTTGATAATTTGATTTGAGTTCCACAAATAAAATGATGCCTGCATTATTTTCCAGTCATTAGGAAATACATTTCTATGAACAACATAATCTGGTCTGACACTTCTTTTTTTTTAAAAAAATGTATATATTTTATTGATTTTTTTACAGAGAGGAAGGGAGAGGGATAGAGAGTTAGAAACATCGATCAGCTGCCTCCTGCACACCTCCTACTGGGGTTGTGCCCGCAACCAAGGTACATGCCCTTGGCCTGAATCAAACCTGGGACCTTTCAGTCCGCAGGCTGACGCTCTATCCACTGAGCCAAACCGGCTAGGGCTGGCCTGACACTTCTTACCCCCAATTCTACATACCTCTCCTGATGCCTGCTCTGTGCCTTGGGCATTGTGGAACATAGATGGAGCCTAGCTTGGAGGTGGGTGGGCTCAATTAGGTGTTTTATGGGAGAACTGAGAGACAGGCACATAATTAGAAAACAGTGTGGTCAGCATAAGAGAGGTTCATCACAAGGTGCTGAATCAATGACTAATGAGAGATGAGTAGGAGCTCTTCCATCAGAAATATGAGTCTTTCAATAGATTTTGGAGTCAGGCAGACCTGGTTTGGCTCTGACACTATCTGTGTCACTTCTTTTCTGAAAAATGGGCATGGATTAGAGGTGAATTGCCCTTTGCCACATGCAGTGACAATCTTGAAGAGAGAAGCTGTGAACTAAGGATTGTGATGGGACAAAGAATCTGGAGCGTTAGTGATATTGTGGGGCTGCTGCACCAACCTACCTCTGGACATTTTTGTTTATTTCTAATTTAATTCTTTTCTTTTGTTTATTTCTAGAATTCTTCTTATGAGAGAAAAGAAATCTATTTCTGTTTAGGACACTTTCATAATGCTTGTAGCAGAATGCAAATCCTAATTAATATTGATAAGGATGTAATTTTTTTCATCTAAATAGCCAATTCTTTAAGCATGGTTATTTAGCTAGTCTATCCTTTCCTCACTGATTGGTAATGCCTCCTCTAGTATATAACAAGTTTTCATATTTATGTGGATCTGTTTCTAAATTTTATATTCAGTTTTTGTTGTTGTTGTTGTTTTAATGTATTTTTATTGATTTCAGGGAGAAAAGGAGAGGGAGAGAGAGATAGAAACATCAATGATGAG